TCTGCACGCCCTTCGAAACCACTTCCGGCACTATCTCTGTCCAGGCTCGGCGTGCCAACGGCCAAAGCAGCCCAGCCGCACCGGCTTCTCCCGAACCAAGATCCAGATCCAGAGAGGCTTACAGGGGCCCCCGTCCTCAGGAGGGGAAGGGGGGGTGGTGTTCGCGACATCATCCACATCACTCACCCCCTCAGCCGCTTGTGTCCCGCTAGCACCCTCACGTGGCTGCCTACCCGGCCACAACGACGAGTTGCCGACAAACGGCCAGGACTCGTCCCGCGCAGGGGAGTCCGCGGCCGGCTTCCCGCCACGCATGTAGGTATGGCTCTTCGCGTTCCGCCTCAGGCGCGGCGGCTGCACGCCAGCGCCAGCGCCAGCGGCACTGACACCGAGACCACCACCGACGCCGCCGCTCCCCCGGACCCAGCCCCTCGCGCGCGACGACGACGACGACGACGGGACCTTGAGCTCGAGGCGCTCGTCTTCATCCGACTGGTCGTCCTCGGCGTCCTGGAAGGGCTTCTTGTGGCGGGCAGCGACGAGCTGGATGCTGGCGCCCGACCCGCGGCGCCGGCCAAACACGATGCCCTCTGAAGGCGTGGCCTCGCCGGAGCTGGGGGGCTGCAGGACGCAGATGGCTCCTGAGGCCGGGCTCAGTTCGCCGAAGGGGGGCGCGCCCGCCGGGACCAAGGCCGCCGGCACCGCCGGGGCTACTGGGGACGTAGCGGAAGGGGATGGGCTTGTGCACGCCCATGGCCCGGCGCAGGTTGACCTGGCTCTGGCTGAAGACGACGCGGGCGCGCAGGGCGTGGACGGCCTGGTCGAGTGCGAGTTCGATGGCGAGGCGGTCGCGGATGCGGCTGAGCTTTGGCCAGGTCGCGCGCTCTCCTATGAGACAGTTGCGGAGCATGAAGTCGGGCGTGGGGTTCTTGAGCATGTAGGGGAGGTCGCTCAGGGCAATCTCCGGGAGGATGTTGATGTCGCCCGAGTACTTTTGGCTCACAACAGACAGCAGTTTGGTGAGTAGGTTGGGGAAAACACCCATCTCGGCCAAGAAATGCATGCGGTGAAGTCCTTCCTCCTTGGCGAAGGATGTCAGATCGTAGATCCACTGGTGACGGTCCGGCGCTCGGCTCTGTTTCAACTGCCCTGGCATGACGTGCTCATCCTTCGGGAGAAAGGGCACGACGTGCGGGTTGACTTGCGAGACGATGAAGTGGTTGACGTTGAACATTTCGGCGAGGCGCGTCATCGGGAGATCGTTGTCGACAGAGCCGTCGATGAACTGCTGCGGCGTAGGAGTCCAGGGGGAATGCTCCCCACTGGCTGGGTGCTTCATCAATAGGGGATGGCCCTGAAATATCATCGGCACGGAACAGGAGGCGGCAACAGCCGACCAGATTAGGACGTTGGGTGCGGTGATGTAGTTGAGGAGCCGTGGGACATCGTAGATGGACGCTGACGAGACGCAAATGTTGCAGATCCGGCGCGTCCTATTGTAAGCCTCCTGGAACGTTACGTCGCCGAGCCACTCTCGCATCACTCTTGTCAGGTTCGAAATGTCAGACCAGCTGCCCTTGGTCAAGAGGTTACGAAAGTGATCCGAGAGGGATTCATCTTTGCCCTCGAACACGCCCAGATCGCCGAACGGAAATGACCTGATCAGCGCCGGTACCTCGTCGTCCATGCGCGTGCACAAGACTGCGCAGACGATGGACCCCGCCGATGCGCCCGAGATGATGCGCGGGAGCAGCCGTTCCCGGAACAGCGTTTTGAGCACACCGATATGCGCCATGCCGAACGTGGCGCCACCACTCAAGAGCAGAGCGCTCCGGCCGAAACTTTGCCTGGCGTAGACCATCCCCTCCAACAGTTCTTTTGGATCCCGATCGTACCCAGAAGCCGTTTTCTCCACCAGGGTCCCAATGGTCTCAAGGGCCGAGTCGACATACCGCTCGATCAGTACCTTGGTACCAATGTAGGAGTGGCGGTAGAGATCCATATTTCCCATACCACCGGTGTTACGCGACAATTCGGTCCTGATCAAATACATCATGGCGCCGATATCGCAGTTGGTCCGGGCGGTGTCGAGGGCTTTTAGTTTGGCTCGAATTAAGTCGGGGTGGTAGTCGGGTTCGGCGGTCGTGTCGTTGAGCTTCCATTCGTCGTTGCCCTCGAGGTGATCGAGCTCGGTGGCAGCTTTTTCCCACTCATCAAGCGTGCTGGCCTGCGGTGGGATGATAAGTATATCGCTAGAGGGGAGAACAGCCATTGTACTTACTTGTGCCATGCGCGCCGCGAGTATCTGTTTCCGCTCCTCCCGCCACTTCTTCTCCTCACGCTCCGACACAGTGAGGCCATCCCGCCACGAGAGGGCGAGATCACCGGCGCTCTGGATAAACCGTGTCACACGGAATGAACCATGGCCGCGGGGTTGCCGTCTCCTCTCGGGCTTCGCATTATCGAAGGACTGTACGCTGGCTGGTGTACGGCGCGGTCCATGGACGAGGAGATCGGGCATAATCACGGGCGATAGTCATGAGGGGGCGTGGGAGTGGTAGCCCTCCTCCTACGGTGCCGAGTTGTCCAAGCCGCGAAAATTGTTGGTTGTTAAGAGAGAGGGCCCGACGAGAACTGAGGGCGCGAAGATAGGTTTGGCGCGTATCGTTTCCTTCGCGTTGGAGCTAGCCAGCGTATCTGGGGATTGGCGGGTTTGCGTTGCGATGCGCTGCTCGACAACTTTGGCTGTCTTTAGGAATAGAAAGAACAACAGAGTGACGGATGAAACTCGGGGATTCTCGAGTTCTTCTGTCTGATCAGCACCCCCAAAAAGGCCACCTGACGAAATCATGCCCCAGTGAAGACCCGCACTCACCAACTGGGCAATGGGAAGCGTGGGGCCCCCACTAGAGATCTCGGGGCGGTGACGGACAAGCACAAAGAAATCGTGGGGAAGGAGCGCGAGTGCCTTGATTGGTGGGCTGGCGGGGCAGCCGGTGGGGGAACCTGGGGTTGAGGGGAGAGCGGAATCAGACACGTCACCACCCAATGAGCGCGACTGTGCTCCGACCTGCAAACCGTGCTATCGATCGAGGTTCTTCAACAGACAACTGGAAACTCGAGTCATGTATACTTCGTACTACCACTCGTCCCAGCCATTTTAAGTCCCCGCATCCGAACTACCTAGCAGACCGCAAGTCGTTTAAACGGTGGAATGCAAAAACCCGACCCCTGCTCATTTTGCGTCATGAAACGAACCTGCCCCGAAGCGCCATAATGTTGCGAGTCAGTTGTGAGACTGAACCCCGAGAATCCTGTGTGCTTCCGGACTGGCCGGGTTTCTACTGTTAACCGAGGCGTCGTGCTAGTGATGGTCGGGCTACAAACCGGAGATGTCTGTCAGTTTCCAGGTTTGCAAGCACGTCAGTCTGCCTTCCCCCAAATCACTATCACATGTTGCGATTTCGAGGGCCAACCCGCCGGAATGTAACCCAGGGCAATGCGGAGAGCCATCCAGCCATCAGCTTGCCAGCCTCCAAACCCCAGACCAGACCCTCTGTAATTCTTGGCACCAGCCTTCGAGAAGTAATAAAAAAAAAAAAAGTAAAAAGACAGCGGGCGGTCAGGGAGAAAGGATAAAATGGATGGAAGTCGACCACCTTGCGAACAATGGTACAATGAGTGATTGGTTGGCAAAAGCCCAGTGTGTTTGGGGTTACTTAGGGTTAGTTAGGGTTAGATACTATCCACCGGCTGACGCCGCCCGCCAAGACTTCAAAGTCGAGCAACTTCTGACAGCAATCAGAATGAGTTTTGGAGGGCATACGCGTCCTTCCCCATGTCTTGCACTTTTTTCCAGTAAGGCTTGCAGCCGTCTGCTCGCCGCCTCCGGGCTGCAATCCGCTCGTTGATTGATACTTCCATGTGAGAGAGATGGGTGCAGTTGCAAACATGTCCGCAGATGAAGGAATCGAATTACCCCCACTCACCATGCAACCATTGCTCCCAACGCCGAGCTTGATCTTCACGGTGCCGAGTCTTCACGACGGGCTCCCGATTAATTGTCGCATATACCATCCGCGCTCGCTCGCTGCTTCTCCCGACGCGCCTCAGTGGTGTAAGCATGCCGCTATCATAGCACACCCCTACGCGCCCCTCGGCGGCTGCTACGATGATCCCATCGTCGATATCGTGGCCGGAACACTGCTGCACTTGGGCTTCCTCGTTGGCACCTTCAACTTCAGGTTCGGACCGTTTCCTACTTGGCAATGCCCGCCACTCAGTCGTCCTACAGTGGTCAGCTGATACCCGAACCGTTAGAGGCGCCCATGGCTCTGCTGGCAGGACATCATGGACAGCCAAGGCGGAGCGGGCTGACTACATGTCGGTCGTCGGGTTTGTTTCCCACTATGTGCACTTCCTTGACCCGTTTACAAGGGGTGTGCAGGGCAGATTTGGGAGCATGGGACGAGACGATCAGGGATTAGATGCGGTCGAGGAGGTCACGTCACCAATCCGCATCCGACCACCGACGCCAACACCGCCAGAGCCGTTCTCCAGACACACAGAACCGATCATGTTGCTCGGGGGCTACTCATACGGTTCCATGGTCACATCCCAACTTCCGGCCCTCGAGACCATACTCGGCTTCTTCAGCGCCCCGGAGTGCGGAACATCGGCCGCCGAGATCCGACTGCGTGCACAGCATTTGGCAGAGATGCAAAATACCGTGCTCGCCAGTGCGAGGGAGGCCGCCGCCGACCATCTCCGGCCGAAGTCGCCGCGGCGGCATGTTGGTTTGCGAGTCGGAGGGGACGAGGAAAGCCGCAGGAGCCATGAATCCCGTCGTTCTCGGTCGACAGAGTTTGAAGAGGCCATACGGCACGGCGTCGCGGAGCTCATGGCTAGGACCAGAAAGGGGCATAGGAGGTCGCACAGCGGACGCAGTCACACGCCACGAGATTCGGATGAACCAACTGGACGTGTCGCAACCCCCGATCATCTGCTGCCCGTGGCTCGCCGAACCGCATTTCTGCCAGCCTATTTGCTCGTTTCCCCGCTGCAAGGTGTCATTACGAGCCTAGCCACGATGTCCCTCACGCCGTTGCTGAGCATGTCCGGGGCGTGGGCCCGGTTCTCGGCGAAGGGCAACAACGCGACCATCCATTCCGACGCCTCAGAAACCGGCCCCCACGATGCTGCAACGCCGGCCGAGGCAGAGGAGAAGCTGGTGCACAACGCCACTCTGGCCGTCTATGGCGACCGTGACGGCTTTGTACCCGTCCGGAAGCTGCGGGACTGGGCATCGCGGTTGGAGGCCATCCCAGATTCCAAATTCCGAGCCCACGAAGTTTCTAGCGCGAACCATTTCTGGGCACAGGGCAATGTGGCGTCCACTTTACGAGACGCTGTCGCGATATTTGGGGGATCACTATTGAACGGCAAATTAGGTTAAATGTAGCAGGATAGGGCGTGTATACAGTGGGTGTCAACAAGCCTCGCCACATTTCCATCTTGGCACACACCCACATTACCACCCCCTTTTCCCCGTTCGAAAGCTTTAGGACATTTTTGGACAGCCAGTCAGAAGCGGACTGTGACGACAACGGCCGCGACGGTGATGTAATCACCGCGAGGTATGTTATCTGAAGTCTCGTTCAAGGCGTTACCGATGGCCGCCGCGTGCGGGTTCGCAAAGTGCGACAGCGGTCCCTAAAACTTTACCTTCTCGACTATTGTAGCTTTGCTCTTATGTATTGTGCTTTCGATTTGGAGTAGGTTTGATCTAGCTGTGGGCGTTGGCACTGGGGGTGGGTGGTTGTGCCGGTGGGCAGATGCCAAGGAAACGGGACCTAGATGATCAGACTTTTTGACTCCCACCTTACTAGTGCAAGTCTAGGTGGTCTAGATGAGCCGATGACATGATGATCGAGGCAGATTCTGCATGTCCATGGGACCAGCGTGAACAGCATGGCGCTTACAAGAGGCCCCTGCGATGGGACGAGCAAGTTATTGATAAGACTTCAACGGCTGCGGCTCTCAGCTGGCAGCTGGTTCTTTTTCGCTCCCACCCACGCTCTCTTCTCAGACACCCACACTCTCTTCCTGGAACACCTATACTTCAGTCTCTTTACACTCTCTTCTCAGAGCACCCACAATTTCTTCACACTCTCTTTTTAGAACACCACGCTGTCTTCTCAGAACACGTTCGTTTTTTCCCCAGCACCATCGCTTTCATCAAACCACACTCTCTTTCCATCTGGAAACCCCATAATGCAACACCCTGCCATTTGGAAGTTGAAGGCGTCGCCCTTTCGTCCACGAGCGGTGCCAACCCGCATAAATCCATCGCTCACCGGCCCACGACCGGTGTCACCGACACCAACCCCGTCTCCCACAGGCCCACAGGAAGTAGCAAGGTCACAGCGATTGCTCGCCGGCCTACAAGCGCTACAGACTTTACGAAACCTATCACCCACCGACCAACAAGCGGTGCTAGCACTGCAAAATATGTCGCCCTCCGCCCGACAAGCGGTGTTGGGCATAGAAGAGTCGTCACCGGCCAGCTCGCTGCCGTTACCCGCTACGCAAAAGCCGTCCCCCGCCTGCCGACATCAGCAGCCCGCCCCCACCATTGCCAGCTCGGGTCTTCAGCAACGTTACGCACGACCCCGAGTACCTCCAAGCGGTACAGCCTTACAACAGCGCCCTCCTGCCGCTCGAGCCTATGGACAACGTCGACAACTTCCGCTGGCTGATCAACAACTGCATCATGACGGTGCTGCAGCACGCCCCGTGCGTCGGACGCCACGTCGTTACCGAAAAGACCCTCCACTGCCGCTCCACCGACGGTACCCCGCTCGCGCTGCACCAGTTCATGGCCTCAATGCGCAAGGCGCAAAAAAACACCTCCCCGGCGGAGCCCGCTGTGCCTGACAAGCCTCCAGCCATCCTGTACCTACACGGCGGGGGGTTCATGGCCGGGTCGACGGAGGTCTTCCGCCACGAGGCCATGTGGTACATGTACGCCAAGCAGTCCCAGCTCGACGTCTTCGCTCGGGAGTACAGTACCGCCTCGCGCCGGAGCATCCGTTCCCGAAACCGGTGGGGGATGTGATCGGAGCCCTCCGCCATCTGCACCAGAACGCGGCGGCGCTCTCTATCAATCCGAGCCGTCTTGTGATCCTGGGCGTTCATGCTGTGGCACGCCGGCCCTTGCCGCGGCGATGCTGCTGCGGAACACGAAGCAGCCGCCTTTGGTTAAGGAGTTGGTGCTGGTGGCGCCATGGCTCGACGACAGGTCGAGGACGGAGGGTGTGGGACGGTTGCTGATATGGACGGCGGCGGTGAATGCCTGGGCGTGGGGCCTGTATATGGACAATGTTATGGCGCGGTACGGCAATGTGGAGGAGGTGGTGGCGCCGGGGAGAGCAGCGAACGTTGCGGGGCTGCCGAGGATGTATATCGACGCCGAGAAGTTTGATCACGCGCTTTGGGACTGCGCACGGTTTGTTCAGCGCGTGAAGGATGCCGGGGGTGAAGCTAGGTTGCGCATGTATAAGGGCGTGCCCCATGCCTTTGAATGGGAAGCTCCAACGGCCAAGGTGACGATGACAGCGATGAACAATCGGGTGGATGTTTTCCGGAATCTTTAGCGGGTCGGCGTGGGACAGATATGGAATCGTGCTCCGCGACAGTGTGTGTATTCGGAGCGGGGGATTTCTAACGGATCGAAATTTGAATGTACGGTTTTGGTTGGCTCTTTACGCCGTCGTGTATACTCGGGGGCATTAGATTTTCAGCGGATTGCATTGTTCTTGACACCGGCGTGTACATTCGGAAAAGGAATCTTCAACGCATTGTATGATTCTTTTACAACGGCGTGTGTACTCAGGAGCGGGGTATTGTCAACGGATTGAATTGGTATCGTCTTGGTCGGACATACCGGTGTGGTTGTATTTCGACGCTTCCAGACAAAGTTAGATACTTCTGTGGTGAAATGATTATTCTGTATCATCGCCTGCCCAAAACCGCCCAACTGAACGAGTCCCAAAATCAAACAGCCGCACCCTCTCCTAGATATTGCCCCTCACCTACCTACGTAAGGTAGGTACTCATGCCTATTCCACAACATTGTCCAGCCCCCCCTCCACCATCCCACACCTCACTCACGCATGCCTACTCCACGGCACCTCCAACGCGCCATCCTCCCACCCCGTGACGACCTGCACCTTCTGCGACCCGACAAACCGAAAATACACCGTCCACGACTTCCTCTTATACGGCCACGGGTCCCTCCCAAAAAACGCATTCGTCATCCTGACCTGCCCCCACCGCCCCTCAAAATGATTCGCCAGCACCGACAGCACCGCCGGCTCCTCCACCCTCTTCGGCCCAAACACCACCGCCAGGATATCCACCTCCCCGCCCGCCCCGGCCCTCCACCGGCCTCTCCAACACCCCATGAAAATACCTCTCCCCGCCCGCCCTCAACCCCGCCCGCTCCCTCGCCTGCTGCTGCCCCGTCATATGCCGATCAATCCGCACCATGCGCGACGCCGGCCCCGCGTCCTCCGCCACCACCAGCAGGCGCGCGTCCGTGCCCTGCGCGGCGTCGTCGTCGAAGCGGTAGAGGATGGTCAGGACCTTGAGGTGGCCCGGCGCGGGGTCCGGGCGGAGGGTCACGTTGAGCGTGCGCAGGTCGAGCGTGAGCCGGTCGCTGTCGCCGACGAGCTTTTGCAGGTCGGGGGTCACGACGACGCCGCCGAAGGTGGCGCCTAGGATTTGCAGGGCGTTGGGGCGGGGGGCGCGGATGGATTCTTCGTAGGAGGGGGTCGGTTCGAGGAAGGTGAGTTGTTCTTTGGCGTCGGAGGTGGATGGGGGGGTGCTGGACCAGGGGTCGAGTTCACGGAGGGAGAGGTTCGTCATTGTGGGGTTGGATTGGTTGGTTGAGAGTTGTGAGGGGTTGTTATATGATGGTAGGATGGGTGGATTGGAGAGGTTGAGTTGGAGATGCTAGGCTGAGAATGCTGGGTTGGTGGGGTGATGAGTTTTGGGGGCGAGGGTGTGAGTTGTCACGACCAAGGCGATGGAGTGAAGTTATGAAGATGGTGAGTGTCGAGGTGAGGTCCGAGCTGACCAGTCCTCATATTGATAAGGCGCGTGACGGTGGCAGAGGCTGCAGGTGGCGGGGGCGAACCCCGCCCTCTACTATTGGCATGTACCCCCCAGGGTCGTGGGAAGGAGCCGCTGGTACGGGTTTCGTTGCGCGGTGGTAAATGGACGTTTTGTTTTTCCGCAATACTCCACCCAGACGCCCATACCACGTCGATCGCCGCTGCAGGAAACCCCTTAGCTATATAAGGATTTTGAACGACAATACATAGAATAGAAGAATTGCAGGTCTCGGGGGAGAACTAAGGCCATCATCAGAAGCCAGTTGCCATGACCCAATCCCATGTCGTCCCGTAGTTCCAATACCTTCAACCCGAGCTCGGGGAAAAAAGTATGGGATTGAAGGCTAGCCGGGCCTCTAGAGCCGATAAGACGAGAACAGGGGCATTACAAGAGATACCCAACCGAAAAAACGTCTGGCATGCATGTAGGGAAAAAGACTCTGAGACAGAGAACCGTCGATACCTAAGTAATAGATAACTACTATCAAGCTCCTGTCGCGGCTTTCTGTGATTCCTTCTTGTCCGCGCTCTTGTGTGACTTGACTCTATGATAGAATATCATGAAAGTCGCCCCGCTCAGGGGTATAGCAACTGTGAAGTACAGCCACCAATACCTTGCCACAGAAAAGTCGCCAGTCATCCCATTGTCGAAGTCGAAGTGAAAGATCCCCATGCTGAAGAGAGTCTGGCAAGCAGCAAGTTAGCAGCGCTTCAATCAGCCTCCGTGGCCGCAGTAGCCGCGTGTCACACAAAACAACACTAGTTCCGGATCTTGATGACATAGTCGAAAGGCGTTTCCGGTAGGTACTTACGGCCACAAAAGTTGCAGGGAGGTACAGCATCGTCATGATGGCGATGATTTTCATGGCTTGGCTGTCGAGCTTGGTTGCCCGAGCAATTTTCCCCATGTTGAGGTTTTCCTCCCTCCCGTACTCTGCCAATCGTCCCATGTGAGTTGTATTTTCGCTGACAGCGCGATCGTTCTTCGAACTGGAAATGGCAGATAGCTAGTGGAATTCGTTAGACCATGTATTTTGAGGATTGGTTAGGGCATAATCGTCGGGGCATCATACCGTCGACAAGCAGGTGTCTACCATCCTTAAGCGCGATCTTAGCTTCTCCTTCACGCAACGCGCCGCTGATAGCGATGTCTTGAGATTTTTTTCGACTCGAGCGAACACGGCTTCCGGAATCTGAAGCAGCGTTTTGACCTCTCGATGTTCGTCAATGGCGTCGACCAAGATGCAACAGAGGCATTCGAAGCTCTCCAATTGGCGTGCTAACGAGGGAAGGAGCTGTCGAAGCTCTCGCGCCGCAGCTTTCATTTCTTCCTCGGCCTCCGTACCAGCGTCTTCGTTCAGGGATAGACAGAACGTCTCCTAATAGAGATACGGTCAGAGTCAGGCATACTGTGATGGAAAAGAAGCTCGTTTGGCCATACCCTTTTCCAGATCAAGTCCGATATTGATGTGTCTTCGAGGACCCAGGAATCTAAGATCGAGGATAAGTGAGAAGAAAGGAAAATGAACGGATCGGATTTGACATTAAAGCTGGAGGCTGCATCGCAGCACTTGACGAGCTTGAAATGTGCCTGGTCCCGGGAAGGGCTGAAGACGCTCATCTGCCGCGTCGCAAGGTTTACCTTGACATAAATTACTCGACTGTCTTCAATAAGCCACGATCCTCATGCCCATATGAAGACGGGTTTTTTTCGCCCTCTCCAAACTCGGGGCATGGAACTTTCCACTCCTGGTTCCAAGGTCACGTATGGAACCAGCGTCCAGAAGTCATCTAGGCGTTAGAACTTAATGATCAATAGCGGGTTGCGGGGAGAATTTTACCGTAGAAACCTCCCTGGGCCATCGATTTCCCTTTCAGGGTTGCTGAAGGTTCCATGTTGCACACAGCAGTTACCGGGCTTAGCCTATGCCCGAAACAAGGGACTCCTCCGAGGCGGACTTGTAACGGAAAGCTTGGGACAAACTCCAAGCTCTGCCACAGCTTGTCGAACTCATAGCTATCGTGGAACATATCCAAGGGACACGCCAGCATGCTTTCCAGACTTAGCATAACATATATAATGTCAAATGACTTGGCACAGGTGTTAACTCACAACAAGTGAATGTCCACGTCTTCCGATTTGAGCAACTCAAGGGAGTTGTGGAATGCCTGGAAAGGGTACACTCTATCAAAAATCCCTGTACGATCGCAAATTAGTGTTCTGTTCTCAAGAAACGGCGGGAGATATGTTGAGTTTCAAAGCTTAAACTAATCTCACGATTGCCTTGGAATGAATAGCCAGAATGGCGGAGGAACGGGCTGTCATCGAACAACGGTATAGCACTGAACTTGACAGGAATTATTTCTCGTGTTTTGAGGATTCAAGACCTCGTCCATATCTGGTGCGAAACAAGGGCTGGGGCCTAGGGAAACGCTGGTACTTTGGTCAATCATGTCAATCGAGTCGTCCGTATTCGCCGCGGCTCCTTCGAGCGTGCTAGTTTCGCCAGGCCCCATGGTATCATCGGAAATCGCTGTCAGCAATGCCGCGGCTTGTAGTGGACCTATCTCGGAATCCTCCAGCGGTATCGCTTCGTCCATATCCACCAAACCAGTCGAGGTCGGCGCGGAAGACGTAGCTCTAGGTGGGGGAGAGGTGGAAGGGGGGTTGAGCCCTGAAAGCTGCAAAAGCTCAACCAGCAGCTCTTGGGTCTCTGTGACGAACCTACTTCAAGACCCTGTCCTGTTAGGGTTCAGCTTCGGTTGAAGGTAATCTCTCAAGGGTGCTTAGGTTCGGTGCAGCCAAAAGGTGCACAACAAAGGCTTGTCTCAACAGTAGGCTCCCGTGCTTGTAGCGAACTGTAGTTGTGATTGCTAACTGGAGAACTCCCAGAGCTCTCCAGCACGAGTGACTATATACCTATCTAAGTCCTGTGTGCTCAGTGTGCTCAGTTGTACCCTCCAACTGAGCTCACTGAGCTCTTTCTCCCATTCCTGGGTCATGATTGGCTGGCTCCTACAAAGGTGCTCAGTGTGCTCAGTTGTACCCTCCTACTGAGCTCACTGAGCCACTCATGTGGGTTCCCTGATTGGTTTGTTTAGCGACTGGCCTGTGGTTCCGCCCGTCGGCATATCCGTGACAGTCTCATCTGGTGCTACTTCAGCAACGTCCACCGGACCGGTTGAAGCTGACGCGGAGGATAGGGCTCCGGGAGGAGGGGACGCAGAGGAGCCAAGATTCAAAAGGTGCGACGGTTCAACCGGGAACTCCTGCGCCTGATCGTGCGTTACTTTAGCGCTGTCCACCTGAATGGTTAAAGCTGACGTGCAGGATGGGGCTTCTTTCGGAGGGGACGTGGAGAGACCCAGGAGTGCTCGGGCCTCGTCCAATGTGTCGGGTGCTGTTTTCGGGACTGCCTGAGCTTCCACATGGCGTATATTCGGGCCTGGGTTCCATCGTGGGTAGGTGTGCCACCGTCTGCAGCTCTACTGTCATTTCTTGGATGTATCTCGATTGATGTGGTGTCCATGGTTGCCGTCATAACCCTTCGCCCCTAGTCGTAAGAGTCATATGGCTTTGGTCTGGTGTCAAGGGACGTAACCCAACAACATTAATTCCAATATTCGGAGTTCAAGAAGGCCTGCTGCTTCAGTGAACTTCAAGTGGTAGAGGGCTTGAAATGTATCCATGACAGATAACACCCTTTAGTCACGCGTTGCCCCGGTTTGGATTCTAGATTATGCCCAGCTTAAATTATGGAAGCAAGTTCTGGGCAACGAATTCTTGCAATTAACGACACTGCCCCTAGGCGCTGCTGCATTTGTGCTGGCGCTGCGCCTCAATTGCGACTTGGTGAAGTGTTCGCCGGGACTGCTGGTTGGTGGCCTCGCGTGGATGCACTGTTTGTCTCTGAACGCTGTGTAACTGTGCGACGCACCCACCAGAAATCTGTCAGCCAGCCCCAGGTATTTGACGGTAGACTCTTGCTGCCGATATGCCTTACTAAATTGCCTTCTGCGTTGCGATTCACAACGCATGATGGATGGAATGTTTTTGCCCCGGGGGAATTGACCTCGTCCAGGACTCCAGGCTCTGCCGCTCTGGCAAGTACCTATCTATTGTTACAGTTAAAACTTAGACCATGTTGTGGTAAGTTCGTATGGGTTTGGTATACACGATGGAGCTTGTTACGCAAGAAAGGGTGGTGACTTTTTTAGAACCCAAGATATAGGAAGGAAACAAAAACGAGGCAGTGGGAGATAATCAAGCGGGCGAGGCAAGGGTATGAGACAGCATAGTGGTCCGAGCGCGAAACTTGACCGGCCTAGTGGGTCGCACAGGGGGACCGGAGCAATCAGAATTCGGCAGGCCCGACCACTGGCACCGCACCTGTATTCCAAGTTGGAGTCGTTGGGGACGACGAAAGGGACGGGGTTTAATGATCTCATCCAGCGATTACGTGAGCTCCCTATCAACTAGTTAGGTACCTAAACTCTTTACCGTTTTGAGCCTGCTCACCGGCTCGTGAACCAAATCTACCGTCGTCCAAATGGAACTCCTCCAAATTGCGTTTCTCTTAGTCGTGGCGATGGTCCAGGTCGTGTTCGTCTGGCGACACACCCGATCACGGCCGGATGTAAAGCTTGATGATAAAAAGGAAAAGGCCGTCGGCCCGATAATGATGCCAGGCACCAATATCGAGCCCCTTCCCGACTTCGACTGGAAAACCACACCGCCCTTGAAACTGCGACCTTTCAAACCAACCTACAACATCACCATGGGTGGGTGCACGTTATCTTAATACCCCAAGTCCCGTCACGTCATCCAAAACACACCTCACACACGCACACAAACAAAACAAAACTAACCACCCCCCCCTCCTTCCCCCCAACCACCAGCCCTCCAAACCAGCACCCCCTCCTCCCTCATCCTCCTCGACACCAACTACCTCACCCGCATCACCGCCCGCCGCGCCCTGCTCACCACGCACCCCCGCACTGTGCTCGGCGTCCTCCGACCCGCCGGCCACGCCCCCGTCCACGAACTCTACACCTACCTCCTCGGCACCTACCTGCCCGCGCGCTACCCGACCCTGTTCCAGGTTACTACATCGCGCGATCCGTCGACGGCGCCGCATACCGTCCGTGTGGGGTTTCGTAATTGTGTGACGGGGCGGACGGCGCCGCTTTATCCCGGGCTGGCGGGGGCGGAGGAGATGTTGACGGTGTTGGGGGAGACGGTGGAGGATGATTTGTTTTTGTTGTTGCCGGAGGGTGTTGGGGGTGGGAAGGGTGGTGCACACCGGTTGGTGGCGTTCGTGTGCTGCCATCCGTCGGGGTTCGATCCGGTGGAGAAGCTGGGGAAGAGGTTGGCGGGAATTCATGAGCCGGTGCCGGGGTATGAGAAGATTGCGGGGAGTATGGAGAGGTATTTTGCGAGGTTGCAGGTGGGGAAGTGCGTAAAGAGAGTTAATGTTGGTTCTGTTTCTCTTTTATTTCCATTATGGTTGTCGTTTGAATTTGTGTCTTGCTATGGTTGTTGTGCTGACCGGCATTCAATGCAGTGGTCGATTCAAACGCATCCGCATCTTTTTGCCCCGAGTGGGAATCACATCCACTCGGGCGAGGAAGTCGACGAGGAGGCAGACATTGATATCGAAAAGGTGCGATTTCGGGTCGAGCTGCAGTCGTTGATGCGGCTGCCCAAGACGGGGGGCCATCTTGTTCAGCTTCAAAACATACATGTACTCATTGGATGAGATCAAGGAGGAAGGGCTCGGGCCAGAACTGGCAGACGCGATTGAAGGGCTGAAGGCGGGAAATGCGCCTGGCATGTGGAGATATAAAGGGGCCGTCAGATGGGGCACGGCTGTGTGCGAGTATCTGAGGGCTGAGGGCAAGAATGAGCGGCCAACTCTTGGTTGAAAACTTGAATGAGGTGACTTTCGGTCAAGGGCAATGTCGATGAAATGGTCACCTTGAAAGCAAGGCAGATTTATCACCCTGGGGGAGTGACGACCTAAACTTGCGCTGTGCTCGATCGTCAAGGACCATTTCATTTCTGTTCTCAGGCGAAGGGAACCGGAGTATTCGTGCAAATACCTCCCCACCTCATTACGTGTACCTAAATATCTTGCATTTTGAGTTCGTGGATCCATAGAGCAACAGCTAATCAAACGCTTGAAGGACGGATAAAAACAAATAATAGTGCCAAATAGCCCAAAACAACATCTAAACTCCCCAATAATTCCTAACTCCGGAGTCCAGGCTCAACCTTAACCCTGTGTCCGCATGCCGCGTGCCGCGAACCCTCCCCGGCCCCACCGGCTCAGCGACCCACTGTCAGCGCCGAGCCCCGAGGGGCAACAATCTTCCTGCCCAGGGCGAGCAGCGCCCGATTCTCGGATCATCCGAGGATCTGATAAGCCGATCCTCCGGTATAGTTAAGTGTCTTGACCGCACGAAAGCTTTTTGACAAACCTGAACTTGCGGTGTGGTTGTCCAAAGTCCGAGCCTAACTCCTGGTTCCCATTTTAATTTCCACGTTCTCAACCATTCGGGCATTTATTTATTATACGAACAAACCACCCGTGGAATCAACTTGACCGACTTAAAGTCCATCATTGCGCAACCTGCCGGAACATTAGGCTTATCAGATCACAGCACACAATCAAATAAATATGGCTGCGACACTTCGAAATATTGTGGTGGTCGGCGGCTCATACGTTGGACTGGTGCGTTGCCATGGCTGTGGTCGATAGCAAGGAAGCAAGTAAACAACTGACTTGCAACGCAGAGCGCCGCCAGAGAACTCGCCAACCTGCTTCCGGTAACACACCGCGTAAGTTTGGACCACCTCCCTCACGATGATGCCAAATCCAAGTCCAACTCGTCTAACCCACCCTCCCAGGTCCTCCTCGTCGAACCCCACAGCCACTTCCACCACCTATTCGCCTTTGTAAGCGCCCCCCCTCTCCCGTCCCAGCCACCTCATGCAGGATGCATCACAATGAGAGAAGTGCCAATCATCTGGGGGTCTCGCTCAGATGCGTTCTCTGCTCTATCCGGGATATAAGACGCAAAAGTCGTCAACAAACTCAATCCCTGCCACAATGTCTTCCCTGGGACGCCAGGAACGAACTGCTGAATAGGCTGCGGAGCTAAAGGCAGCTAGGAAGGCTGAGATTGAACGACGGGCTTCGTTGTTGAATCCACCGCTGACCGCTGAGGTCTTGCCCACACCCTTGCTTTTCGAGCAGCGACCCAAATCGTTGCCGAACTGGATGATGGGGCTTGGGAGCGACTCAAACCGGCGGTTGTTAGCCCAGCGAG